GCGGTAGCGCGTCGCTGAGAGGAACCAATCTGTAATTGTCGCTGAATCATCACCCACCACGAAGCAGTTTGATTCCGTATTTCTATCGCGCACAACACACTTGAAACCTTCAGAATCACTGCAGAAACTCGCGGATGACGCGTGGACAAAACGCACACTGGTCACAGCTGCTCGTCAGATGGTTTGGCACGCAGCGTTCAGTCATGAGTACGGAAGGTTCACTACCATGCGAGCAAAACACGCTCTTCGCCTGCACTGTCCACTCTCGGCACAACCAGAGTATACACACATTTCATTACGCTTTCATTCCGCACATGCACAAAGTTTTAAGACCTCGAACATTTCAAACCAGACGAAAAGCGGGAAGGCGGGAGAACATAGGTCATACAGGCAGCAATACTGAATTACCCTCGCGTACCATCTCCTGCCTGACCTCTGCTGCACCTGTCGGTGAAGGAAAAAGACCTTCAACGTGAATTGCGTGTTCGGATGGGCTGAGAAAGTAGCGTATATTCTGTCCTATACAACGGTGACATTGGGTGTTGTGCATCAATACCGATCACGACGCTCCCTGCCTCGTAACGAGGTGCGGCACTTCCGTGCGGGGAGACGCCATGAACCCATTTCAATTTGAACTTTCTAAACTTTGTCGTTTCTTAAAACAGTCCCTTTTTCAACTTCCTTTCAGACAAGTGGCGAGATCTCGTCTACCTCAGATTCACTGACTCTATGTTCTTCACCCATCATTAGATGGTAATCGATCCCAGGAGGTACCACTTACTCAGGGATCAACATCAGATACCGCGAGCAACATAATACCACAATAACCAAGTGAGGCTACCTGCCTCATTTGAAAACATAATAAAAAAAATAAAAATAAAACTTGTACAAGCCAAAGTAAAACAAAATGAAAAAACTTAAACTTCGACACAAGGTCTTCACTAAAGTAACATGCACAATGACCGAGTAGAAATTATAGGACATAAAATGGCATACAACATTGCGGACTCTTATGACCCTAGCCGATCCCCGAGCGCTCAGCGTCTACCTGTATGCAGACTTCTTCCCTGAGTCTGAGTCCCGAACCCTCGTTGGATGGTCCGAACTTCCACCTACTCAACTCAGTGGTGGACTGGGGCATGTGCGAAGCTATCTGACAAGACGACCGCTGTGCATGTCCGGGTTTGGTGCGGTGTACATCGAGTGTGTTGCAGTTCCCCTTTGGCCCCACAAAAACCACCCCGTTGCGATCTAGGCATTCCTCAATCTCACTTACTCTCTCTCACGTTCGGTCTACCGCCGTGTCGACCAAGACTCTGACAACTGCATCCTCAGAAAACCCATTCTCAATCAACTCCATATCTGCCACTCCTACTGGTAATGCCTCATCGTCTCGTGGGACCTTCGAGGTAGAAACCGCAGCAAAACCGTCTGTGTCCGCTCTAGCAACCTCGACAACTTTTGTTTCACCCAGTGGCACCGGCGTGCCTGCGTTCCCCCCAAACACACACTTACCCAATGGCGGAACATCCTCCTCGATCACGGAAGTTACACTAACCAAATCCACACCCGGTGAACCGCGACTCGTTTTTGACAACCTAGCCAAAAGGTCCCTTAGGAACTGCATCAAGAGGGACAGGAGCAGATGAATTTGAGGTGCCTGTGACTGAAGTTGGGCGTTGACTTTGTCAAACACAGGGATGACACTCTTCAAGAAAAGTCCATAAGCGAAGTTTACATCAAAGGTAAGGAAGTACAAAAGCCGTTCCTCACGGGTCAAACTGGCACGTCCGGTACTTTCAGATGAAAGCTTCACTTTCTTTGCCTGGGTTGCATCAATCTTGCCTCTTGGCTCCTTCCGTTTTTGGTATCTCGCTGGACTTCATCGCGCACATCTGCTGAAGCTGCAGCTGTCTTAGGGATCTGGTACGACCCCAGAAAGCTTGGGCACTGCTGGCTTTTTGGATTTGTCTCATTCAAAAAGAAGCTGACAAAGGGCTGCCACTGCTCTAGCAATCTGGTGAGACACCTTCCAAGCGATAGCCACCGCGTTGGCACGTGTTTCAAAATCTTCCGCACCTTCGTGTTGTGCATCCCTTGAAATTCAACAAGCCTGTCTTTCCGCTTGGCGCTCTTCTCAAGGTAGTAGAAGATGTCCACGAGCACCTCGTCGAATTTAGCAGGTAAGCATGCGGCTCCTTTCTCGGCCGCAAGATTTATAAGGTGGCACGGGCAGCCAACGACTATCAAATTATCTAGGCCTTCTTTTAGCACAGCTGCCACGCCGTTTTTTTTGCCGATCATCACATTGGCATTGTCGGCAGAAAATGCGATGCAGTTCTCAATCGGTATACCACGCGATTTGAGCCGGTCCAGAACGAGGTTTCCAATTTTTCATTGATTGATTGATTTGTGGGGTTTAACGTCCCAAAACCACCATATGATTATGAGAGACGCCGTAGTGGAGGACTCCAGAAATTTCGACCACCTGGGGTTCTTTAATGTGCGCCCAAATCTGAGCACACGGGCCTACAACATTTCCACCTCCATCGGAAATGCAGCTGCCGCAGGTTTCCAATCTTTCGTCCGGTGGCCTCTCCATGGAGTTCCTACAAACAAAGCAGTCGGCTTTCCACGTTTCGCGATTCCTCGATGTAGTACGTTGCCACGATTGGGTACGTTTGCGACCCGCTGTCGTTGCTTCCGTCCACTGCGATTGCGAAAGCACGGCGTTTCAGAGTCTCCGCCATTGTGTTTCCGGTATGTGCAGCCAACGATGGCAGTGGTTTTCGTACGTCCGCACCCGTACCCCTTCGCGTCCTCGAACTTCGGGAACATTTTCAGAAACAACGGCCCTGCGTGATCACTAGCGCTTAGCGGCAAGTTGTGTTCCACAAGGAATCCCGTGAATAGGCATTCTGCGCAGATCGCACTGTCTTCGCAGCTCTTTTGTAAAAAGCTACCGATGTTGCCTTGCCCTTCCGCAGCACGAACGTAGTTCTAATGCTTCTGTGAAGCGATATGCACCTTTATATCGGCCTTCTCGCCGTGCGACACGCTCACATCACAGGCGCACGTGGTACAGAATCCGTACTTGTCACCTTTCCGCGAAGTCACAAAGCACAGAAACTCAGCTGTGTATAAGTCCATAAACACTTGCAAGTACTTCTTCTTTGATTTTGACGCCGCCATCAACCTTCTAACTGAACTCTGGAAACACGCAAACCCCCCAACCACGGCAGACGGCGTAGGCGTAGCGTACAAAATGCGGGGGCCAAGACGGAAAAGAAGTTCTGGCTAGGCACAGCGGAAGCAAGTGAACTGAACGGTGGCCGGAGCGACAAGAATGTGACACGCGGCGCTGTTTCTCCGAAGCACGCCAATATGGAGAGTGCAAAGCACATTGGGGTCCGCCTACCGCTGGTCTACCGGCCACCCCTCCTTTGGAAAATGGAATGTGCTCGACAGTCTCGCCGTGTCGTTATCGGAGCGCTCGTGAACATACAGCGCCGCAATCTTTTTCCTTTGAGACTACCTTTTCCCTCACATTCTTTCGGTACGGCGGCGAGTGCTTCTCGCGGCCAGCCTTCGTCAAAATGCACAGTGCCGAGAATGTACTCAGCGGTACTCTACAATATGGTTACAATGAAATAGAAGTGTGGTGGCGAGTGCTCTTCCGCAGCACCGCCACTGCCATAGCAGAAAAGGCTGATGTACGCGCATGATCTTAAAAAAGAGAGCAAAAAAAAACAGCCTTTGCTGTGGTGGCCACTTTTCGGGAGATTCGAGATGACATTCGTACAATCGGGAGATTAGGTCCAAATTCGGGAGTCTCTCGGAAAATTCGGGAGAGTTGGTAGGTATGGTCTGGTTACTCCACGCTCGCTACGCTAATGACAGTACCAGCAATCAAAAACAGGGTAGATGGCCGACTTGTCTTCAAAAGATCGGTGGCAGTGTGAAAACACGGGCCTTGTCTGGCGATGCGGGGTGCTCAGAGTAGCGGCGAGACAAAGGACGGAGGTTTGCGTAACAAAAAGTGGTCGGGGAGAGCGGCAACTAGAGGGGCGCAGAGGCAAGATCGGTGTTTAACAATAAGAATGTATGGGGAACTCGCCGATGACTTATCCGTGGTCGAAAATGGTTTCCCAGGAAGTCGGCGGAGCGCCAATTACGTTTGCTGTAACCGATCAGTGGGGCGCAGAGGCAAGATCGGCGTTTAACAATAAGAATGTATGGGGAACTCGCCGATGAATTTTCCGTGGTCGAAAATGGTTTCCCAGGAAGTCGGCAGAGCGCCAACTACGTTTGCTGTAACCGATCAGTGGTGCTCATAGACGCTCGTTGTAAGTACGATTTTGTGCCATTGAGCCAATGTATATTTTCACAGTCACACGGATATTGTTCGTTTTAAGCGAAAGTTCGTTTTAAGTCGGGTCGTTATATGTGGGCCTGACTGTATATCAAACTATTTTGCGATCCCCTTCGAGTTCGATATATCTGGGATATATAACTGACGAATCTTGTTCTGTCACCGTGCACTCCTGCAGTAGGTGCGCTTCTGATGTATTCGCGTCACTATCTCTTTTTGCCATACATTACTAGCATTCTTTCCCGAACTTGTGAGCAGTGGGGAACCTGCGATCCGCTGGTCACTAAAGGTAACTGACTGGATTCCAAGAGAAGGCCAAACTCGTGGGAGGGAGACAAACTAGGTGGGCAGAAGGTTTGCAGGTATAGCGATGGAGCAAAAAAAAGCACAGAACCGGACTGATGGGAGGACATAGGAGAGGCTTTTGCCCTGCAGTGGGCGTGGTTAAACTGATTATTATCAGTATGCAGTTCTAGATCGAATTGCTTAAGTGTCACGTAATAGTGATTTGTACTCAAAAGTGAAGAAAAACAGGCGGGTGACCAGTCCTATTGCTGCTTTTTGCACTGTTTACGGACTAGCCCCTGCAGAGAGCACCAATTTGCAAAACAGCTTGCACTGTACTCACCTGAACCACAATGTCCCAGGAGTAGACCGACCGACCGGCACACATGAGGCAGGCAATGATGGCGTCAGTGGCAAACACCTTGTATGACTGTCCCTCGGTCTTGGCCAGCTGAAAGCACAAGTACAAAGAGGCTTCTTAAAGGTTCCAAAATGGAAAGGAGCTTCTAGGGTTGTTCAAGGAAACCTGCAACACCTTTTGAGCAAGGCTCCTGAAAACTCGCGAGCCAAATTTCACAGCGCAGCACACAGCCTGGAATGCACAATGAATTCTCAAAATCAGCTAAAAACCACTTTCAGTGATGCTACTGGCTTAGACTGCTTTTGAGCAGCTTTTGGAGCAGCAAAACTGGCTTTTGGAGCAGATATTGCTAGAATTAATCTTAAGACACCTATTGTGCTTACAAGGAAATCCGTAAACAAAAGTTGTGTTGAGCCAATGTTGCAAGTTGTATCTTCGTCAAAACAAAACTGTTCTGTTGTAACCGCAAGAAAGAAAAGTCTGCATGTCGAAAAAAAAAAGTCTGCCTGTCGAAACGTCAGTCTGACACCCGCCCCCCTCTCCCCCAACCCCTGATTACGGATTTTTTCATCGCATCCAACCCTTCCTTCCATTTTTGAATATTGTGTTCATCACGCACAAATAATAAAATTACACGCTATTCAAGCAGAGTAAAAAGCAGAGTAAAAAATTAAAGAAAATTATATCACCGACAGATAACCTCACTTCATTTAATAGACAAAGCCAATGACAAAAATTAAAACCATAGCACTTCATTCCAACGTGACTGAAAATCGGTTGACTGCCGATTTTTCTGAAGGCAGATTTTTCAGACATGCTGGCAAATTCAGACGACTTCAAGGCAGCATCACAAGCCCTATCAACATCTATGAATAAACACATCCGAAGTTTTCGACGCTGGAACTCTTTGGTGTCCGATTTTTTGGGGGCTTTCAGCCCACATTCAAGGTATAAAGCAGAATTACCTAAAGTCCCCAAGTTTGCTACGTCTATAATTTCGTAGGCTTAAACGAGAGCCTTCAAGTGTCGTTTGGCGTCACAAAAATGGTCGAACGTCGGCTTTTGCCGCAATGCACAAGTGCTATGGGGTGAAGCAAATAAAAAAAATCGAAGCAGGCTGGTATTCTCATGGAGTGAGGTGATGTCTAACAGATAAGCACCAGAAATGCTCAACGATGGCGGCAATGCAGTAAACATGCCAGTAAGACTTAATCGCTTTATGATAAGCATCTTCAGCTACCTCCTTGTTCCTGCATGTGGCACAGTTGTCTTCGTACTGCACGCTTTTAATCACTCACACACGCTGCCATCCACGCTGCCTTTCTGTGCGAATCGGCTAAGTCTGCCTCACAGCCTTCACGATGAAAGCAGGTCACGATCACCGCGCCCGTGTGCAATCAGGAACAGAGTGGAGGGGGGGGGGGGGGGCATCAAGAACACATTTTGATGACAAACGCGGGCGTACGAAAGCACCCCGGCAGGAACGGCATCAGCTGTGTAGGCGATGTGCTGCACACAAATTAGGAACGATCGGTCTCGTGTGGCAGCAAGTGCTACGAGTCTGAGAAGATTTTCGCAAAGTGGCGCATCTTCTAAGTGCACACAAGCATCGCAGATGTCCGGAAAAGTATTCCTCTATTCTGCTACATCCTTTATGTTCCGCACCATCGTTTCCACAGGCTCTATAAATACATGGATTTGTGAACCCGTCACACAACGTCCCCGTGGTGATAGAGTGCGGCACAATGATGAAATGTTCTCTGTGCTTCGGTGCGCCTCTTGCGCCCATGAAAAAGACGTTGGCTTTCGCAACAATCCTAAAGAGAAGGGTAAGCCTGCCCTTCTCCTTAGGATATTCTTTCTGCAGTGCGACGACAGTGACAGTGAACGTGACGATGTGTGAGAATTGCCAATTTCTGCCCCTCTGGCATTCACAAACACATGAAATAATTACTGCAGAGCAGCCGTTTAAATTGCTGCTTCAGCAATCAATCGACCGTTCATGACATCCACTAGAAATGCAAAGCGGTATCAAATTACCAAATTTGAAATAATCGTGCTTGGATTGCAGTTATGGGCATCGGCAGGGCACAAGCCTGAGTTGCATCACAGTAACAGGAGCCTTTAGGGATAGATGCTCGTGTGACTCGGGAACAGGGCACGTTCTGCCTTAATGCACTCTCTGGCCAATGCAAATGAATGTCTGCAGTTTGTCTCAATGTTCGTTGAATGAGAGCGACATTAAGTAGTTCATATCATTACCGCTCGGGGATCAGAATATAAAAAATAGTCGCTGATTGTATATACCGCGCACGGAGCCACAAAAATTATTGACAACCTTGAGTAAATGTCCACTAAATAAACAGTGACAGCAGGTTTCGCTTGTGAATTCATGGTCAGTAGTGTCCCAGGTGCGCACTTGTCTTGATCAGTAAACTATGTATACATATGTGTACATACACCAACCAAATAAAGCTGTAGTCTCAAATGCTCTGCCCGACTCAGCTGCGCTGACAAGGCGCGCTCAACCAAGGCTATTCGGGGAGGCCGCGCCGGCGGCTTCTTGTCTAGGGGCCCTCGCGGTAGGTTTTGGAAAGGCACCTCACCTGGTGTTAGTCGCCTACGCCTGTAGCCTGCATGCAATGAATGGCTGAATTACTGGCGAGGCGCTGAAACACGGTCAATTGAAAGCTCCCCAAAAAGTGGAGCGTAGGGCGGGTATAGCAAAACTCACTGTCAACCAAGTACTTCCCGCACACGGTCGATAAAGACGTTGGGCGCTTTTCTCCGAGTTGAACTATTCCCTTTTTCCTAACCTTCGGGTCCTTGGGATAGTTCTGAAAGCTAAAGCCCTCTTCATGGGTTGGTGATCACATAGATGCACGCAGCAGTACTCCACCATCGCGCAGTCACTCGCCGCGGAGACAAGAGGCCCCAGTTTTAACAAACAAAGCGCTGTGCTTTTACAATGAGCGCTAAAAGCGGACACTAGAACAGCTTCGGTAGCCATCATACAACAAGATAACCAATTTAAGCGCGTCTTTGCAGAGTTTTACCACGATGGTGGTTTCTATACAGTGCCACGCTTTGAAATTGATTAATAGATATGTGGTGTTTAACGTCCCAAAACCACCATATGACTATGAGAGATGCCAGTAGTGGAGGGCTCCGAAAAATTTCGACTACCTGGGGTTCTTTAACGTGCACCCAAATCTGAGCACACGGGCTTACAACATTTCCACCTCCATCAGAAATGCAGCCGCTGCAGCCGGGATTCAATCCCGCGACCTGCGGGTCAGCAGCCGAGTACCTTAGCCACTAGACCACCGCGGAAAAGGCGCACCACGCTTTGAAGGTGCGTGAATCCTCGAACTAAAGTCATACAAGCGAGGTTTGCAGCGCCGCCATTGGTTGCACACAAGGCCAATAGCACACGATCGGCTCTAAAGCAGACTTCTCTTCGTTTTATGATCCCATAGAACTCCATGTATACAGATATCGATTACTGTGCAGCCCCCCCCCCCCCCCAAGAAACACCGGTTGTAGTATGGCTCAGATAAGCAAGGTAATGACCGCGCAGAAGGAGGAGGCGACAAGAAACAAACTGACAAGGAGTGAAGCATGAGAAAAAAAGAGGAAAAAATGAAAGGGAACGAGTTTAGCCAAGCAAAGCTCAAAGGACCCCCAGCACCACATTTGGAAACTCGAGATGCTTGTATGGTTTGAAAGTCTTCCATGAGGAGGCAGTTCTGACTGTAATTTTGAAGCAACAGTATGTGCGCGTTGAGTATTCAGGTGCAATCGACATTTTCTGCGAATTGACGTAGATAGAGCATCCCTTCGGGGCATTGAGAAGGTCAAGAAAGTATTGTTAGAGTCAGATGCTAGTATATATTATACAATGCATTAAGTGCCAACCACTGGCACGCGTATGCACGCACCTACACGTCAAAATCGTCTAGTCGCGCCTGTGGAGGAAAAGGGCGCGCAGCTACTGGCACGCGTCGACCGCGTTGACGGCCACGCGTCAAAGGCCGATGCACAATGTTGCTTGATCTTTTGGCTTAGAACTGTCCAAGTTCAGCACAGAATGGCACGTTCTCAACTGGAGCGGGAATGAATGTTTTAGAGGATATGAGAACACGTTAACAAGTTGATAGTGCTTCAACCACCACAGTTTAGACTATTTGAGAAGTAATTGACATTTCAGTGCCCAAAGTAACTACAGTGGTATGCACCAGAAATCAACATCGGTGCGTGCGCCGCGGGAACATTCGCGTCTAGCATACTGTACGTCTATCATAGGCGTGTGCAGGGTTCTCCTTAAGGAGGAAGGGGGGGGGGGGGGGGCAAAAGTTTGTCTTAGTGCTCCTCCCAGGGCTAACTTAGCACCCCCTCCCTATTATGTTAATATATGGAGTTGACATTGAGCTCTCCCCCCCTCCTCTCTGCGGTGAATGAGGCGTGGCTGCCCTCCTGATCAGGTTTACAAACCACCGGGTTTCTATACCTGCACTACCAAAGTTACTAACAATATCTTGCATATGCTGGTACCTTCAGTATATTTACACAACATATTTTATATCAGTCAACTTAATAATCACGCCGCAACTTCATGATCTGACAGATTTAAGTCAGTCATAAGACTACAATTGAGGCCAAAGTAGCAGGCTTTCGGCTGATGTGTGTGTTCAAAATATCTTCTAATGCAACAAAGCACACCTGGTTCTTATTGATACAACTGATATTGGCCATAAGATAGGAACCAGATACTGCGTAGAATGCTTCGGGCATTTTCCATAGTCGAAATGTGCTCTAATGCAACTAACTGTGCCTGACACTTCATGATGTGACAGATATCGGTCATAATATTGCAACTGACCCCTGTATGGAAGACTTCTGGGCGTTGTCTTTAGTCAAAGTATTCTCTAAAACGACAAATGACACCCAACTATTTATGAAGTCACAGATATCGGTCATAATATTAGAACTGAAACCTTAATGCAAGACTTCTGGAAGTTGTCTTTAGTCAAAGTATTCTCTAACACGACAAACGACACCCAACTATTCATGAAGTCACAGATAGCGGG